GAAAACCAAAAAAGATCATTAATTTAAAATCCAAATTTCCTTGGACACCAAAAGAAGGCAACTGTTTTAGATATTTAACAAATGAAGTTGTATGCTAAGGGAAAACTTTTGCTAATACATTGTAGCTCTTGCATCATGGGATTGCATCCTTTTAGATTATGCCTTCATAAAGCCATTAGTCTTGTGATTGGGATTTCAAGAAAAGTGATGCTGGTTTGCTAGTTTGGATACGTACTCCGTATGCACAACCAACATGCATCTAGATTTTAACGTGACTGGGTAATTTTACAATTTGAGTTGATTACGACTAAGTTTGCAGAATGCTGTTTGATACTGTCTTTGGTAGGTTTTCTTATGTTTTCGATTACTTTCCTTAATTTCTGAATGCACCATCAAGGCAGCATAAAAAATCATATGCAGGTTGTCTTTTGTGTGTAGGTTCTTGAACAACGGGTAGAGACTTTGGAAAGAGAACTTGATGCTGCCATCTCAGCTGCTGCTCATGCTCGTGCAGAAAAGCGTCAGGCAGAGGCAGCACAAAAGGATGCTGAATTACGTGCACAAGAGATCACAAGAGAACTCGAGAGCACCACAAGTATGCCTACTGTTTCTTCTTTTCAACTATATATTTGTGAAATAAAAATCAGGTAAAGTTAGCTTCATTCCCATTTCAATGTGAATATATGAGCTCGCATCTCTGTAAATTTTAGATTTCTGGCGATTTTGTAGGTCTAGATTTCTAATATAAAGTTCAGCAGTCTTCAAATTTTTTTGTTTGGTTAGTTTTTGCTATTTTACATAGAAATGGTGGTGTTTTCTTATACAGTAATTTAAACCTTTATTAGATTATGAGTGCTATAAACTTTGCATACCTATGACATCTTTGGATAAGGACAAAAGCCATATTTTCAGAGAATTACCAACAATTATGCTATTGTGAATGTGCGATGCAGTCAATGTTAGGCGTGAGTCTTAAGATCCATAGCGGCGATACTTAGTTTTTCCCCTTTATGTGGAATTTCTAGAAGCTGTGCTAGTGTGAGGCCTAGTCATTTACATTCATCTGCGATTCAATTCACAAACCCCAGCTACCTTTTCTTCTTCGGTTTACCCTAAAATGCCAATTTTCCAGAACCTAGCCTACCACAATACACTCGTGGAGTCGTGGGAAAAAAAATTCAAATCTGTTTTGTGTTTTCTAATTGCAATATTTACAGTCTTCTTTTGTACTTCATTGTGGATACCCTATGCTTATTAGCGGATAGTTTATTTGTTGGCTTGAAAGTTTTCTATGTGAGAGGTACGGATGACAGATAGGGTCTTTGTCGGGGATTAAGGGTGTGAGTGTAGTGAAAGCAAGGTGGTTTTACTAACAAGGGAAGTTTAGGGGTGGGCAAATAATATGGTGATAAGTAGAACTGGTCTGGGAAAAGATTTGAGTCCACTAAGCCAAACCTCTCTAAGATATCCCATCAATCTATAAGACTAACTGACGAATTCTTCCACTAATATCTCATTTAATCCTCCTCATCACCTGTGATTAAAATAATCTCATGTTAGAAACAACAGTATTTGAAATTTGACTAGTAATCTCTACATAAATTTATGTTGAAGGTTAATCTGTGCAAAACAAATCTGAATCTGAACAATATCTCCATCAAATTCCTCCTTTATAGAGCCTAAGCAAAGCCCACGTACTATAATCCTGTGCTTTACTGTTAGTTGTAGCATCTGTATGTCTTTTTATTAGTTTATAAGTGAAATCAATGGCAAACCTCACAATCTTTCAATCTCACCAATTTCTGGTCATGATGATTGCCTCATTCCTTTTCAAAATTTGTTGGCAATTACTACTTTATATTTCCACCTTGCCAAAATTTTATAATATTGCTCTCTTTGCTTCAGAGGTATTTGAACTACACATGGAAGAGTTGCGTGCAAAGCAAGAAGAAATTTCTAAGCGTGACAGAGAAATTAAACTTTTGGAAGCGATAATTCAGACACTTGGTGGTAAAGAATCCCGTTCTACAAGCGGGTAACTTGGTTTTTCCTTTCCTTCTTTTCTCGTTCTTTCTTTATGTAGATGAAAGCGTTCTGTAAAATGCTCTGTATTAAGTTGCTCATGCTTGACAATAAAAGATCTGGGAACCTAAGAGTGTGTTCTCTTTAACCTAATACTGTTCACTGGTTACACGATAGGGTACCATGTTTGAATTTATACCTCCTTTAACCTCCTCTCTCGTGGCAGACAGGAGTCTGGATCAGGTCTGATGCTTTGATCTCAAGTTTTGTAATTAACGGTGGTCATTTTACCAGTTATACTATATGCTTTTAGCATAATGCAACAGTGCAGAAAATGCTATTTAAATTGGTCTGACAATTCAAAGACGGCCTCGCTCAACATTCATGCATTGTTCCCTATGGAAGTCCATTTTGTTAAGCTGTAAAAGAGAGCTTCGAATGTTTGCAAGAATACAATTTTTTTTTGGCTTAAAAATATATATGTTTTTAATATTTTTGGATCATTTTAAAGTATTTTTAAACAAAAAAACATTTAAAAACCAACTGCTATTATATTTTTAAATATCCACACATGGGGAGCCATGATTCACTGAATTTGCAACAGGGTAGTGATGGGCAATTGCAGAGGATACATGGCTCTAAATGAAGGCCATATAAAAAGATTGTGTAATTAAGAATGCAAATGAATTTAACCTAACCAAGTTTTAACTTATTCAAATTTGACTTGAAAAGGACTTGCGGAACTTTGTTATATATTTTTACAAAGCTAACAACTCAACCACGAGGTTCTTGTCATGGTTATTGTCTCATCCGAGAGAGAAATAAACCTCGTATGAGTGGAAAATTGTGTTCTTTATTTTAGTCTCTGCATACATACGTGTTCTACCTGATCCATTGGCAAAATTATAATTTAAGAAGAATGTGAAAAGATTTGATGCTGTTAGACCTGGCTGTAAATTATAATTAAGAGAGGGTAAGTTCTTTGTTGGCTAGCCAGTGCCCGGATGGAGGTTAGGTTGGATGTGTATTGATCTGTTGAATAGTCAATAGACTAATTAGTGAGTCAACGACCTCAGTTAACTTATTATAATTAATTAATTAATAATTTGGACTTAATTTGTAGATTATTCTGGGAAAATCTTTGTCATTATGATTCATTTTCCACGACGAGACAAGGACATTTTTTCTTGGTGGAGACTCCAACAATGCCTAGCAAGAGCACTTTAAGCAAATGAAAACTATGAAGTTACATGATCATTAATTAGACTTTCACCACTAGTAGATTACTGGTAGGTGCCTGTGCTAATTACTAGCCAATGCCACAACAACTTGCTGCACTTGCAAACACTGCAATCCTATCTTCATCTCTTGCGTCACACCTCGCAACAAGTTCAGTAAATGGATGATGAGTCTGATTTCCCAGACTCAACAGAAGTGTTCCTTTTTCTTAATTGATTTTAGTCTAGTTCAGCAAAACTCACCTTTGCAGGGCACTGCCATTCATTTCAAAATTTTCTATTCCAAAATAGTTCTTGAATGCCGGAAACTATCAATTATAGATCTAGTATCCGTTTGGAAATCGTGAGTTACACTACAAGTGAAACCATATTTAGAAGGTTGTACCGTGTTCTCAAATCTAGCCTTATTAAATCGGAAAATATATTTGAGATTCATATCTCAGAATGAGTATGTTAAATTGGCAAATACAATAGTGAAAACACACCGTCACTCGCAGGAAGCTTCTTTCTGAAGAACAGAACCAAGTGCCTGCTGCAATATTGTTCATCAAATCCTGCCAGAATATCAGTTCAAGCAGTCAAGATATTCTTATTGAACAACTTTTTAAATGCCCTAATGAGTTAAGATCATCAACCAACCTTTTGTTAGAACCACCATTTTAATTCACCAGATCCTAATATAAATTATTCACGGGAGTCTAGAGTGTATAGTTTACCGGATCTTAAAGGCCCTAATGTCCCCTCTCAACCTAACCCATCATGTGCCAACTGCATCTTTTTACCAGCAAAATGCTTGGTCTGTAATTTTTAATACATGCTCAATTGCTGTACAAACTGATCAGTTGCAGAAAAAGACGAGTAATCTTTCTCTAATTACTCTCTTTATGAGAAAATCTAACACTACATGGACCGCTAATTAGATGCTTAGAATGTAATAAGTGCAGAATCTGAAAAAGATGAGGCACCTAAACCCACTAAAGCTCTTTAATGTTACAATAGTCTTCCCCATTCCATTTATAACTTTATCTTCCAGCCCTTACATAATCAAAACCGTAAGAATGATGTAACAATTACCAAAGAAAAACCGTAAGGGACAAAAGAGGAACCCCGAACTGTTCAGCATATCCTAGATATTTCATGGCCAACCCACTATGCCGAGAGGGTCATAAATATCAAGCATACTTCATGAATATTATTATTTGTAGTGGTCACCCCCCCCCCCCC